CCGAAAAGGTTCAATTCATCGTTTGAGCTGCGTGTTAGTCCAAAATTCTCTTAAAAGATATATTTTCTAATCATTAAATTCATTTAAAAAGTGACGCCAGAACGCAGGAAATGCTGTTTCAGAGGCCCAAATTTTAAAAATTACATTGCAGCAGGCCTGCATTCCAAATACAGGCCTGCACAAAACGGACTTTGCAGCATCTTTAAGTTGAGCCAACATGTCGGACACTTGGAAAACATTCGTGTAACTTTCCATTAAATTCTTTTGTGACCTTTTCACATCCCTTCTTGTATACTTCATATACTTCATACTTCTTGTATACTTTTTTGGGAAGTTGGATCTCTTTTGGACCCGAGCCATCCAAAGGAAAATGGCGAATTACATTCCTACCTTCAACACATGACATGACCTCTTCTCTCAAGCAAAACCACATTCCCTTTATGTGGTCAGGAAAAGGATCTTGCTCCGAGTGTTTCTAAGTGGGATGTACGTCGAAAGCTTTTGTGGACATAAATGCCTTTCTGGTTGCTTCTATAATCTGGATATTTGCCATCATACGTTCACACATCTTCACACTTGTATGTCCTTGATTGAATAATACGAACTAAATTATGTGCTACAAACAGAACGTGAGCAATTAATTATGCGTTGTGGAGAAAAAAGTGAAAGAAAATCAACAAGCAACACGTAGTTTGAACAAGTTTCTTAAAGTACAGAATTTATTTTTACCAGGTTGTAGTACAATGGAAAGTAATTTAGAACCGATTTACAACAGATGTTTTTTGAAAAAATGCGCATTCCGGCGCCTCATTTTCAACAAACGTTTCCGGATATGACATATAACCAATTTGCGGAATATAAGCAAAACTTCGAGGTTTTGAGTGAAGAGAAAAGTCGAAGTTTTGCTTATAAACTACATTACTCATTAGTACGTAGTGTTGCACGTTGTCATTGACATTGTACATGAAGAACAGTAAAGCCAAAATTAAATAAATAAACAAGCAGTTAGATTTACCTGTCACATAGCTTTTTAATGGCTTCACTAAATGCTCTTCAACAAATTCATCCATAGCTAGATCGTGCCCTTCCTTGCCAGATAGACTAATGGAGCAATTTCGCCTCATCATTTCCCTGAAAGCAATAGGCCAAACCGCTGTAAAGTTTACCACATGGACAAAAGCTTCCGTCCAGTAGTTCCGAAACTGAAGTTGTGCAAATATGGGCAACAGAATCTTCCAAATAGCCTCCCTTGTTGTTCCAAGACCGTTCCTAATCACGTAATTCATCCCTTCAAGAAGCGAAGCAAATAGATCGATCATTTGCATGGTGTACGCGAATGACTGATCCTGTTCTGCACATTTTGATAACCACTGCTTGAATGACTTGAGAAGGATATCGTTGTGATTACCGGACAAAGTCAATTGTTCATCGAAATCTTCTTTGCTGGGAAAGTCTTCTGAAATTCTGAACTGCAGCGAGACCAATCGCCATAGCACCATCTCTTACAGCTTCTTGTATTCTTTGCAAGTTCTGTTGCTGAAATTTTCTTGCCCGAAAAGCTTCATCAATGACTTTTGGCCTTTTCATCACCTTATTAACGACATACAAAAACACACCTGACTTTTGAGCCTTGTATGCTGCTTCACAAAGGTAACCTTTCGTGTGCAGATCACCAGGTACTTCTGCTACCCATTTGAATGCCTCTTGTGAACGGTGTTTTGCTGACCTAAGGATCTTACAAGTTCCTTGATCTCCTACAATCGCAGTTGGACATTGTACATTCACACTGCGGTCAAATACAACACCAACCGTGTCATCACTATCTCCATCATTACTCGATGTTTCCATTGAAACATCAGAGCAGTAATTGCTTCCATTGTTGATTATCTTGTCAATATCATCATCTTCCTTTTCCTGATATAGAAACAATTCGAGAATATCTGTCAATTCCATATTCTCTGCCATGTCCATAGGAGACGGCATACTGGCATACAACGGTCCAGAAAAGGAAGCAAAATTTTGAACAAGTAATTCGCACATGACATTGTAACGGTTTAAAACTGCAATAGAAAGTGGCGTGGCGCCACAACCTTCTTGGATGTTAATGTTTAATCCACAGGAAATCAGTGTTTTGACTAAGGGGATATTATTATATTCCACCGCATAATGTAATATATTACGACCGAGATGATCTGCAACATTCTCCCACTCCTCTTGTGTATCTTGCAACTTTTTAACAAGTTTATTTAATTGCTCGTTATCTCTTGATTGCATTGCAGTGATCATGTTGTTATTTATGCGATTGTACAATTTGATCAACTTTCCATCTTGCTGTTGGAAAAAGCGAGTTGTGCTTTCGATGGTTTCTGCAGGTATTTCATTAGTTTCTTCATCCTCATCTCCCCTACTTTCGTTCGATCCATCGACAATGGTTTTCTCAGTAGACCGTATCTGTTCGTCTATGACAAGGGAATTCTTTCGATGATGAAACAGCATGATCATAAATTCATGATGTTTTCTAGCAGAAGTAAGATCATAACATTTATTCGTTTCGTCAAAAACGAAGTGTCTACTTGCATGTTTACATGGAATTTTAAATTCCGTGCTAAACTGTTCCAATATTAAAGCCGTGCCTGTGAGTGTGGAATTATTTTCCAAGGACAAGGGTAATATTAAATATTCACTTTTCCCCATCAACGGAAATTCTCTTTCCAATTGAGGAATATCAATCTGATAAGATGCTTCTCCACATGCTTCATCATTTGTAGTCAACAAGGATTCTTTTATCCAAGCATCACATTCTTTATCACTTAATTCATCAATTGGCTTTGAACAGGATGGTATTTTGTTTAGGCCAACGTCCAAAAGCTTCAGGAAATACCGATCTTTAATTTCACCCCACAACTCTTCATGCTTTGCATCTCCACCTAATCAAAAATGAAAACATTGTAGCTTTGCTGATATATTTGTAGGGGTTATTGAACGGTGCACGAGATAGTATATATAGGACGGTGCCTGAGACCGTATATTTTCCATTAAATTATAACTTAGCTAATACATGGGAGATCATCTCCACCTGTTTCAATGTAAGTATGATCTTCAAGGTGAAACAGATGGCAGTGAAGACTTTGGGGTATAAGCTATTCTGTATTGCACAGGATGTACATAGTCATACGGTAGTACACTGTTAATTCAAACGATGCTCGTACAATAAAACACAAAATGCTCGGGATAAATTACTCTAATACGTTCTTTCGTTAACAACAATGCAAGAATGTACATTGACCGTTTACGTGGCAATGCGCCCTGATGGCCTTATTATTTTACTCTGTCTAATAATCAGGTGAAGATTGCTACCACTATTAATACTCATCAGGTGAGGATTGCTGCCACTCAATGGGTTAAATCATATATGTTAAATGTACAACATACCAAGTAAAATATCACTTGCTTCAAGATCTGTAATCAATATTTGTGGTTTAGTATAGCTAGCGGGATCTTGAAAGTGATGTTCAATGCCATGAATGCTTGGACGCAATGCTGCTCTCACTGTAAAGTTCCACATCTTAGGTCCTAGTAACCTAACCAGCCTTTCATGTCTTCTTCTTCCTCGATACAAATTTATATTATCGATGAGCATAATCACAGATGTTTCTGTTGGGAACTTTTCATTTATAAGATGTTGAGACTTCTCAAGCCGCTTGTCTAAATAGCCCATACTAAATGAGGTTATAAAAAATTAACATATTAAAAATTTTCTTATGATCATGATTCCGGGTGGATTCATTGTGTTACGTACCATGCTTGAAGTGATGTATTTTGAAGGGGGGGTTAAAAGACTCTAAAATTGAAGACAGGCTGTTGTCAGCACCCATGTGCTCTTGTGGAAATTGAGGGGTGTTGAAGATGGGCTGAGAAAAATGTCTTTGGAAGCTTAATTTGAAATGAGTTCTTAACAGAATTTAAGCCTGGTTCACATATATGCCTGTGACGTACCGGCGATGATGCCGATGGTAGCTTTAAAACGTAAATTATGTGAACATTTGTTCGCCGATTGCCTCCAGTGCCACAGTTACATATATCTGCGGTAGGCCGGGAAAGTTGACTTGAGTTCAACTTTGCTGGTACTTCGGCAGCAAGTACAGGCATAATGATACAGTCGCAGGCATATGTGAACCAGGCTTTATGTGCAGATACGGTTAATTAACAGGGTCTGAAATTTAACATATTTTTCAGCACCCCATTGGGATACCAGTCAAAGTTTATTATCCTTTCTGAGAATCAGGTGCCAGTATCCCACTACTGGACACTGGTTACCATAAACTTTGGCATCCCTGAACCATCAAAGTAAGTATAAAGTACATGTCTGTCATTGTTATAAATTACAGCTGTAACAACAGGAGACTCAACAGTCATCAACTAACCCACCAAGTTAGAAATGGAAGTTCAAAGCTGTATAGAAACCACTGGAGACATTTATCAATTACTGTATCATAATATTTGAAATTTTGTGCTATCCAGTCTGTATATAAGTCATTTACAGTTTGGTAAGTCGGGATAATGCAAATTTCAGACCCTGAAGGTTCTGCCCCGTACCCAGGCGTCTCTTTGTAAAAAAAACAGCGATGCGACGCACCTTACCCGACAGCCCCTTTGCGCATCGCCTGCCTGAATACTTCATGTATTATAATTATTTAAAGCACCTGGGTACGAGGCGGCTAAAGGTTCATGTCAGTCATAAAAGACATGGTTGCATTTGGCAATGGGGACCTAAAAGCTGACCTGCCAATATCAGATTGGCAAATTGGTGCCAAAGAATGCAACTTGATAGGTTAAATGTATACTTACAGTGTATCCCAATGTAGAGTAAGACCAATAGCTGACAACATATTAATAAATTGCATCCCAGCACCATACGAAATGCATAACATACCAAATAAAAATACAAAGTCATTCATGACCCTTGAATTTCGTATGTTCACTAAAACTGACAATGACTGGCTAGCACATAGCATCTTATAAGTAGCTGTTTTATTCACGTTCCTCTCTTTCTTGTTGAACACAAGCAAACTCTCAATAACGGATGTGATAATAGGACAATTTTCGATAATTTCATCCAATAATGTTGTAAAAAGAGTGTCAGGAATATTTGTATCATTACTAAATTTTCCAGTCCGATACCCTTTGTTGGTGAGCTGTTCCAATGTTTTCATTTCAGCCTCAATTGCATTCTTCTGTTCAGCAGTAACAAACTGGCCACTCTTCTGGATAATGTGCACTTGAGACTGGTATAACTTAACTAGTGCATTCATATATTTATCTTTATTGTCTTGCTCAATCTTAAGCTGTTCGGCAATTTTAATTGACTCTTCACAAGGGCCATCGTTTTGTATATGGACCAATAACGTTGGCCATAATTCCTGTATCTGCATATGGCATGAGGATATTTGACCTTGCATTCTTTCTATTTGCACATCAATTTGTGATAAATTCCCTTGCTGCACTTGGGGGTACAATGCCTTTCGTGTTATGTTCTTATAAATATATCTTAAATGATTATTAATTAAGGAATAAAAACAGAAATTGAAATAACTGTTATACAGAGGCAATGTGCCTGATGCCCTGCATATTAACTTTAATTAACTTCGTATTATGGGGGTCACCCATAACATGAAGTTAATTAAAATTCATTTTAATTAACTTCATTTAATTTTAATTAAATTAACTTCATATTTATGGGGGTCACCCAAAACTATCTGTCCATACATGCTTCTTTCCACGTTTCAACCATTTACTTAAGTGGCAATGCATGTATAACACCAGAAGATTTTACTTGTCAAGGGAAGAGTGCTGCCACTCAATGGGTTAACAAGACCACGTGCCAGTGCATCCTCTTAACCTTTATGTGGCCAGCAATGCGGTTAGATGGAAAACACGGAGTCGGAGTCCCGGAGTCGGAGTCCCGGAGTCGGAGTCCCGGAGTCTGACGTCATAAAAATATGGAAAACACGGAGTCATATGGAAAACACGGAGTCTGACGTCAGAGAAAAATATGGAAAACACACGGAGTCTGACGTATTGTCAGCGGGAAATATGGAAAAGAGTAATTAAATAATATATCATTTATGCGAATATAAACAAACGGACGAATTTATAATATAACGAATTGGAAATTTTCTGCACTAATTCTGGTATTTCTCTAAAATGTCGTGAAAATATGGATTATTTATTTTTAAATACAATCAAGCAAATAATATTGTTTCTCTTGTCGTGTGACTTGTTCAGTTGTACAATTGTCGTGAACGTTTATACAGTTACATTTATAGATCAGTAGTGTTAAAATTATTAAGGAAATGTACAATTTGATTGACACTTCGGATATAGTACATAACATGTGAGCGAGCGTTGACTTGAGAACGGGAATTATAACTTAAACAAAACGTGATATTATAAAGTCTTTACTTCTTCGAACCGATTGTGGGAACCAAACTAAACTTCACCACAAAGTGGCACCTTCGACCGGGATTATTTGGACTTATAACTTGTGAATTTATCGGGAATTTATCGATCGAGAGTTTATCGGGGTTTGAGGAAGTATTTTGACTACAAAATCGAGCTATGGTGACGAGACAACAAAGTCAGCGAAGAGATCTTGAAGCCCAAGACGAACAGCAATCGGGTTTATCCAAGGAAACTGAGTCGAAACTGGTTAACTTACAGTCTTTACTACGGAAATTAGCATATTTTAACCGAGCAACAGACGAGATTTTGAGAGTGAATTCGAAAGAGGCGAAAATACGACAACAAACAACGCTAAAAACCAAGGTAAGCGAAGCGTATGGTTTGATTGAGCTTATACAATGCTTGAAAATCGATGCAGGCGAATCTGACGAAACTATTGACGAGTGGACAAGCGAAAATAATGGCAGATTACGTGAATATGAAGCGGCAATCGAAGAGTTAAATCGTAGGCTCTTAGACGAAGAGTAAATACAAAGGGAAATTGAGCGCCAAGAGAAAATTCGACAAGAAGTGGAAGCACGAGCTCTAATAAGACATGAGGAAGAACAGGCAGAATTTGAAAAGCGTGCAAGGGAAGAAAAGTTTGCATTATCTTTGGAAGAAAAGAAGTTGGAGATTGCTTCTGCAAAACGGATCAAAACAAAATTACCTGATCTGCAAATATCAAAATTTCAAGGAAGTCATTTGGACTGGGTGCGGTTCTGGGGTTTATTTGAGACCCAAATTGATAGAGCACCTATGAATGATGAAGCAAAGTTTGCATATTTGAAAGAGCATGTTGTATCTAAAGTTAGGGTTACAATCGATAAATTACCACCCAGCACCGAAGGGTATGCAAAAGCGAAAAAGATGTTAAAGGAACGGTATGGTGATACAAGTGAGGTGGTCAATGCACACATACAAGAAATTATTTCCCTACCTACCATTAATGGTGCTTCAAAACAAAAGATACATAACTTTTATGACAATCTTGTCGGACACGTTCAAGCGCTTGAAACATTCGGAAAACTAGGCGATGTTGCGGGAAATGTAAGGATGACTTTGGATAAGTTGGAAGGGATTCGGGCTGACCTAACAAGAACCTCGCCAGAGTGGAAAAAGTGGACCTTCCCTGAGTTGGTTGAAGCATTGCGACAATGGATTGAGCGAAACCCAATACAACAAAGTGAGAAAGATGCGAAGAAAGATGGATCACCATGGAAAGGCGGTAGGAAAGATAGATTATTGTTAGCAAAGGAACAATCCAGACAGTGTGTGTATTGTGAAAGCAAAAGTCACAGATCGGTAAAGTGCGATAAAGTTGTGAGTGCAAGTGACCGAAAGAAATTGTTAAGCAGCAAGCATCTGTGTTTTAATTGCACAGGCGAGAAGCATAGAGCAAGTGATTGTAGAAGTAGGATCCAGTGTTATAACTGCAAGCGAAGACACCATACTTCTATTTGTGATAAACTAGAAGATGGTCAAAAGCTGATGTGCCAACCCAATGGAAATGATGTTGTTTATCCAGTTGTTGTAGTCGAGATTGAAGGAGTTAAGTGTCGAGCACTTTTAGATACTGGATCTGGGAGCTCTTTCGCGTCAAGTACGTTATTGAATACAATTGGAAAAAAGCCAGTGAGACAGGAATTTAAATCAATTGAGATGATGTTCCAAACTACAACAAGGAAAATTGATGTGTACGAAGTCGAGATTGCAGATGTTGAGGGAAAATTCAAGATGCCATGTGAGTTGAACCGGATTGAGAAGGATGTGCTAATGACTTTGCCAAACCCCAGGTACAAGGAACTTATTAAAACTTATGAACATCTTCGAGGAGTCCATATGAATGACGGAGACGAGAAAGCACTTCTACCTGTTCACCTTATCTTAGGAGCCAGTGATATGTCCAGAGTCAAGACATCAGAACCAGCCAGGGTTGGAGACGATGGGATGCCAGTTGCTGAGAAAACCGCGTTGGGATGGACCATCATGTCACCGGGACGAGAGATGAATCATTCCTTCCTGATGTTCACCAAAAGCTCTCAAGAAGACTACATGCATCTTTGCAGCTTGGATGTGCTAGGATTAGAAGACCATGCCGAAGGAGATCAAGGAAGCGTTTATCAGGAGTTTAAGGAACAGCTTACTAAGCGAGAAGACGGTCGATACGAAACGTCATTACCATGGAAGGCTAATCATCCAGAGCTTCCGACCAATTACCATGTTGCTAAGCGGAGATTTCAGTCATTATTCAACCGGCTTGATAAACAACCAGAACTGCTAGAGACTTACCACAGTATCATAGAGAATCAACTTGAGGAAGGAGTCATTGAAGTCGCACCAGAGAAAGCAGAGAGAAGCCGAGAGCATTATATCCCACACAAGCCTGTAGTACGAGAGCATGCCGAGTCTACGAAAGTAAGAATTGTTTACGATGCTTCGGCAAAAGCGGATGAAAAATCACCTTCGTTGAATGATTGCTTGGACATTGGTCCCCCACTCCAAAGGCGAATCCTAGATATACTATTACGCAGTCGAATGAGACCAATTCTCTTGGCTGGTGACATAAAACAAGCATTCCTACAAATTGTGATCAGGGAGATCGAGCGAGATGTAATGAGATTTTTATGGATAAATGATCTACAACGCAAAGAGATGATGGTCTATCGCATGACCAGAGCGATGTTTGGGCTAGGCCCAAGTCCATTTCTACTCGGAGGAACTTTGAATGTTCACCTCGAGAAGTATGTACAGCAGTATCCACAGTGTGTTGAAGAATTGTCCGAAGGAACTTATGTTGATGATATAAACATTGGAGGTGACACAGTTGACGAGACCAAAGTACTCAAAGAGCAGGCAAAAGAGATTCTTAGTGAGGGAAGTTTTATGTTGCACAAATGGCATTCTAATGCGGTGGAGTTAGAGAGTGACATCGTGGAAGACGGCGAATCTACTTATGCCAAAGAAACTTTAGGAACTAAACCATCTGATACTAAACTGCTGGGGTTGGGATGGAACAAGAAGGAAGATACTTTGTTTGTATCACTACCGAAACAGAATGTAGAAATGACCAAACGAACAGTCCTTCAAACAATGGCGAAACTGTATGATCCTCTGGGTATAGCTGCTCCGTATTTACTCACGGCGAAAGTAATCTTCCGGGACATTTGCGATCGGAAACTTGGATGGGACGTTGAGCTGCCCAAAGATCTTAAAAGCCGATGGGAGAGATGGTTAGACAGTCTGCCAAGTGTGTTAACCTTCCCAAGAAGCATTCCTCGAGAGAGAGCATCAATTACCGAGATTCACATCCATGGGTTTGCCGATGCCAGCATTCTGGGATGTTGTGCTGTTATCTATGTAGTGGCAAAGCAGGGTGAACTAGTTTCTCGAGGTCTGCTGGTATCCAAAGCACGGTTGGCGAAACGCGATTTAACAATTCCTAGATTGGAACTTGTCAGCTGTCATATGGTCAGCAACCTTATCCACAATACCAAAAAAGTTCTTAGTTATCTTCCAGTGACGGGTGTTTATGCGTGGACTGATTCAACCGTTTGTCTACAGTGGATTAACGGACAGGGTAACTACAAGCAATTTGTGTCGAATCGCGTGAAAAAGATTAACGAGGAGAAAATTGAATGGAGATATGTTCCAACTCAACAGAACCCTGCGGATATCGGTAGTCGAGGTACAACGAGAGATCTACAAGTCAACGAAACCTGGATGAACGGTCCTGGTTGGTTGAGTGAGCCTGCGAAATGGCCGGAGCAATTACAGATCAAACCCAGCGAAAAATCTGAATTCGAAAGTCGAATGGTCAAAGAAGTCATGAAAGTTACCATTCCGAAAAAAACTGATTTTGTCGATAGTCTGTTAGAGAAATTCCAGCTGTCAAAAACAGTACGAGTTTTAGCATGGGTCAAGAGATTTATTGACAACCTGGTGTATGGCAAGAAAGTCAATGGGCCATTGGCAACCGAAGAAATGCAGAAGCAGATGCATTTCCTGATTAAACGAGCACAATCTGAAAGCGAAATACTTGAGAACTTCAAATATGATTCCACCAGATTAAATCTTCAAAAGAACGATGAAGGAATATACGTCTGTAAAGGAAGAATCCAAGGCGAATATCCTGTGTATCTCCCAGCAAAACATGTTTTATCCGAAATGATTGTAAAGCAAGCCCACGCGAAGACTCTGCATGGGGGAGTTGGTCTGATTATGAGCAAAGTTCGTGAAGAATACTGGATTCCAAAGCTACGAACTCTAGCTAAGAAAGTCCTCAGCCATTGTTATGGATGTAAGCGGTTCCACACAGCACCAGAACCTAGCCCACCTCAAGGTAATCTCCCGAAAGAAAGAACCGAAGGCATAACGCCATTTGATGTAGTAGGTGTGGATTACGCTGGACCTATTTATTACCGCAGCAAGAAGAATGAAGATAAGTCGTACATCCTCATCTACCCATGTTCCTTAACACGAGGACTCCACCTGGAACTTTTACCGAATTTAAGTTGCGAAGAGTTTCTGGCAAGTTTCAAGAGGTTCGTTGCAGTCCGAGGACGACCGAAGAAGATGATCTCAGATAATGGGAAAACTTTTCATGCAGCGTCAAAGTGGATTAAGAAAGCAACCCGAGATGAAAAGTTCCACGCGTTTCTGCAAGATCATAAAATCCAGTGGCAGTTTAACTTAAGCAAGGCAAGCTGGTGGGGCGGCTTGTTTGAAAGAATGGTTGGATTGGTGAAGAATTCGCTTTACAAAGTTGTTGGTTCAGCTAAACTCACTTACAAAGAGTTGCAAGATGTATTATTGGACATACAAATAGTACTGAATAACCGCCCTTTAACGTATTGTGAAGATGACGTGCAACTTCCGGTTCTCACACCAAACCTCCTGATATTGGGAAAAGCAAATTATCTATTAGAGTTGCCGGTCGAAGAAATTGAAGAAGACGATCTACGAAGGAGAGCAAAACATTTAAAGAAGTGTAAAGATGCGTTATGGCGTCGTTGGCGAAATGAATACATGAGAGCACTTCGAGAGAGACACGATTTACGACACCACGGGAAAAGCGCACGATTGCAAGAAGGCGATGTAGTTCTTATCAAGGGCGATGAAAAGAACCGAGGCAAGTGGAAGATTGGAATCGTGGACAAACTAATACCTGGAAGAGATGAAATTGTGAGAGCGGTGAGACTGCGTGCAGGAAAGAGTTACCTCGAAAGACCTATTCAGTTTCTATATCCAATGGAGCTACACTGTGAAGCGAAGAAACAAAATCAAGGAGAACTGAATCCCGAAGCCAGAGAGTTTAGACCAAAACGAAGAGCGGCAGTTGAAGCATTAAGGAATATTCATCAGATGCAGGAGACTGAAGAGGACGGTGACTAATAACTTTGCATGGGTATAAGTAAAACTGTAAGTGACTTGATAAAGCGAACAACAGTTAGTCAAACTTAGTTAGTTTATATTTCAAATAAGGATTATTTAAAATAGGGGGAGTGTGTCGTGAACGTTTATACAGTTACATTTATAGATCAGTAGTGTTAATATTATTAAGGAAATGTACAATTTGATTGACACTTCGGATATAGTATATAACATGTGAGCGAGCGTTGACTTTAGAACGGGAATTATAACTTAAACAAAACGTGATATTATAAAGTCTTTACTTCTTCGAACCGATTGTGGGAATCAAACTAACTTCACCACAGTCGTAACGTACCGGTGATGGGTTTTCAAATTTACGTACTTCCGGTTGATTCGCGTATCAAAATAAAAAGTTCGTCGCAAGTCAACTTTTTAGCGTACTACGGAAGTATTAACCAATCAACATTCACTAAATTTTGTTTTGATACGTTACGGTACGGTACGCTTGAAGTGGAAAACGGCCTTTAGGCCTTCGTTGTCCAGTACGTTTATCGTGAGTCTCGGGTTGACTGAGCAACTGCATTCTGTATAATAGACATTAAATAAATTGCTATTACTATATTTTATTCATTCTGACCGCTGTTTCTATAATGATAGCATATTTACATGACGCAGTTGTATCTCAACTACTCAAGGAACCATTTAATTAATTATCAATAATAGTTTTCACAATTGTAATATTTAAATCACATAAAACACTGTGATCAGTCTGTAAATTCGCGTCTAAAAAGCAAGTTCAAAACGATCTTAGGCCAACTTTATTTATTGCAACCAAGCATGTAAAATTACTATGCAGTAATGTCTGCATGTTTGGAGGTGACCCATGGTGACCATATCCCATGATGCAGCGCGGGATTAGCAGCAAGATCAGGGTGAGGGTATCGTACTGGCACTGCAGTACTATTGTATTCTGCAAGTCTCAACAATAATTCCTTCACTTTCTCTGGATATTGAGAAGATAGTTCATGTCGTTCTTCAGGATCCTGGGCAATATTAAACAAAAACAACTTTTTGGTGTCATTGTTCAAATAATTTTCTTCATTCAAGTTGAGACTTGAGTTCGGAGGTGGAATCCAACGTGAATCTCCTGGACATCCTGTGAGTAGTTTCCAGTCCCCAACACGTAATGCAGCCTGTGGACACCATTGATAACCATGACTCCACCATTCACTATACCATGGTGTCTTTACTGGATCGATGTTGTGCAATAGTTCAATTCTAGGAGATGGTTCACCTGTGTTTATTGTTTCCCAAACATTAAAACCATCTAAAGGTTTTGTACCATTCAAATCACCACCAGCTAACTTCACCAGAGTCGGGAACCAATCAGAAACATGGATCATTTCATGCGAAACTCTTCTTGGCTTTGTTAACAAGGGACTGTTCACAAATCCTACACCACGTACACCACCTTCCCACAATGATCCTTTCCAACCCCTCAATGGCCAGTTATTTCCCCCTTGATACACCTGACCACCATTATCAGTGCTAAATATCAACACAGTGTTATTCCATAGTCCTTTTTCTTGGAGTGTTTTAGTTACATTTCCTATGGCTTCGTCCATAGCAGACACCATGCCGGCATAAGTACGTCTATTCTTATCTTTTATCACTCCCTCGTACTGCTGGATATATTGTTGGGGCACTTGCAAGGGAGAATGTACTGCTTGAAATGCTAAATATAAAAACAATGGGGAACTGGAATCATGATTCGTGATAACGTTCTGAGCTTCTTTTGCAAATAAAAATGTCGAATACTCTCCTTTTTCTTTTGTACTTACAGTTTCATTTCTGCGCAGATCATAACCGCTCCATAAACTAAACGGTAATAACTCCGGGAAACCACCGCTTCTCATATGTGTATAATAATCCTCAGCGCCGTTGAGATATCCAAAATATGAGTCAAATCCTCTGTAGGTTGGCATGCACTCCTTTTTATAATATCCATTGTGCCATTTCCCAACTATGTGAGTTTTGTAACCGCTTTCACTTAATTTGTCTGCGATTGTAGTTTCGTCAAGAGGTAAGGAATTTGGTTGCGCAGGGTATATAACGCCATGTTGTAAACCTGTATGAATTTGATATCTGCCAGTAAGCATTGTTGATCTTGTTGGAGTACATATTGGTTGGACATAATATTTCTCGAGGATAACACCTTCATTTGCTAGTTTGTCCAAGACTGGTGTTTTTATTTCAGAACCATGGTAACCAACATCGTTGAAGCCATAGTCATCAGCAAATATGAACAAAATGTTTGGCTTGTGATTTCTTCTTGCTACATATACCAGATTAAAGAGAAGGAAAATAAGCAAATTTATCTTCATTTTTCCGCTCAGGGTAAACTATAGTTGTTGCTGTAATGTCTCACAAGTGTTGGAAAGAGCAAATTTTCTTTCGTTTTAGCAATATGTCGCGAGAAGAATAGCTAACGTCCGTCACTCAGCTGTTTATATTGCAAAACAATTGGTAACACTAGCCTCCTCCCCAGGCAACTCTGTTTGACCTTTTGGGTTCCCATACGGCGAAATTTTGTGACAAGCGGAATAACGATTATTTATAACCTTTTTTGCCAAGAAGTGGATGAGTAATAGAGGACAGCTAAAGGATTTGAGTTGTTAATCGAGGTTTGCCGCAATTTGTCCTGTGAACAAAAATTCACCGTTTGGGGACCCAACAGGTCAATCCAATCAGAGCGCTATGGTAATACGATATGTTTATTCATAAATCATAATAACAAGGCTGCAACTAGCCTTGATGGCAAAAAGTATTGCCATAGCAGCTGCGCAGCAACAATGAGAGCAACAGTCAGTAATATTAGCAGCAAAAAGAGATAGCCATGACAATTCTGCCAAGGCATACCTCTGGCACCAGTCACACTGACAAGTCAGTCGAAACGAAATACAATGTATAGTGGTCTATACATCCTATATCATGTGAGATTAAAAATTATATAAAATAAAATGACATACTACCTGATAAAACCCTCTAGACTAAACTTGCTGCACTAAGCAAAGCATACAATGGCCGAATGAATACCGAGACCACAGGGGCGGAGCGAAGACTATCCTTTTCGAGGGGTGCAAGACAACTTTTTGCCGACAAAAGGGCGTGGCTAGCATGTTGTTAGGGCGTGGTCAAAACGAACCGTATTCATTTTTAAGTGATGTATAACGATGAAATCCGAGTAGTAAGATAATTTATTTTTTAAATAGGCGAAATAGTTCCTTAAAATACCTGGTATAAATGTCAAAAAAGCACATATCCAATCGTCATCAAACGACCGATTACAAACTAAACACGTCAGTTTCTCTCTCTTCCGTTTGCGTTTTTGCTTGTTACTGTCCATTCTTTTAAATCATCTTCGTATTTCTCATTGTATATAAGACCGTTAGGTGTAATTTCTAAGACCTTTACTGGCTTTACAAAATTATAAAATGAAGCGCAGACGCATCAACAGTCAACACGCACATGTGCTTCAAGTTTCCTATGGTATCATATTTCACAAAATGTCAAAATTGCAAGAAAATTTAATACTATTAAATAGCGTATTAGAGTAATAAGTTCTTGGCCAATTTGGCTGAATGTTTGGAAAAGGACCGAGCTTTCAGTCGACATAGCCATCTTTTCGATCTCGTATTTTCTACAAATTTTCTGCAAACAATCTCATTCCAATCAGGTATTGCCTATTGGCTTGATCCAATTCATTTTGCCGACAACTGATTTATTGTGCCGACGGACACGGCATTGGGGGGGTGCGGCACCCCCCGCACCCCCCTTAGCTACGCCCCTGCCGGAGACCATAGTGCCCAGACCGAAGCACTGATCACAAGGCGCGAAACAACCCCTTGGCATCATACGTCACGGACTGCCCTCAGCGGATGCAGCCTGCATTAACCACATTTAATTTTAATTTGCACAAAACCGCATAAGGAAATCGTATGGATTGATTGTCGACCTTCCCGGTTACTTTTTTGTAGGATTGCTGGGCCAATAGACTAGTTGCATTTTTCGCAACTGCTCCTTAATAATAAAGTTATAAACTTTACACTCGAAATTTTCATCAACAACATCCTTCAACATCAGTTATTTAGTTCAATCAAGTGAGATGCCCGCAAATCCTGATAGACCCAGAACGAGAGGGATTCGGCGAAATATTACCCGAAGTGATGATATTTATATCTATATAATAATATCATCACTGAGGGTAATATTTCGACGAATCCCCCGAGCGGAGAGTCTATAAATTATATATTATACTGTATACCGAAAGTTAAAGAACCCACTAAGTTCAGAATAAACTTGATAAAAAATTAAGCGAATTAGGGAATACAATGTTTAATGACTCCGAGCCTTTTAAAGTTTTACAGAATTTCGAGAGAAGAAATAATCGACGATCAAGGGATTCTTAAAATAAATACAATATTATTTCAATCATAACTCATAGTGGGGCCCCTGTGCTCACTAACGCCATATTGTTTCAGCGCGTGGTGGCCGCGCGTCACGCGTGAGATACTATAATATCCCACGGTAGAGCAGGAGAATTTTAAATTTCACACAACGACTGAACAACAATCTAATTATAGTTGTGATCATTATAAAATATATCAACAACAATAGTATAATCTAATTAGCACCAACCAATCAAATGACAGATTAAAAAATCTTTTGTCTCATAGACCAATCAGATTTACAACCGAAATACGGTTGTGCGGCATGGACTTTGTTAAGATTTGTATTAGGCCTATTTATTTATTTATTTATTTATAGGCCTGATCGCAATCTCGTTCCCAGAGTATGCCTGTTCGCGGGTTAGAGATTGGCCTGATCGCAGGTTACACCGGACCGGAGTCGCAGGGCCGCAGGTTCGATTTCTGTCAGAGGGCCGGCATTTTTCCATAACTGCTTCTGGTCCAAAATTTCGATCCACAAATCCTTCAATATTAATATAATTGTGTTTGTGAAAAATACTATGATTATTTTATTTGTCAAAACTGCTTCCGCATGCAAGCCTTGGTTCATTGTCAGTGCAAATAATATATTTTACAATGATATCCAGTTACGGATCGGAAGCTTTACCTTATTGTGTTTTAAAGAACCGAAAAATATCAATATTCAATCCGTAGTTTATAAAAAGGGAACTTTATAATAAGACTTTTGCCGGGGCTGTTTATGATTTCGTTATTCGTAATTTACAGAGGGTAATCAGAGCCGTACTTTTACAGAGCCGTACGTATCAGAGCCGTACATTAATTTTATAATGTTATTATAACTTATTAGAATGCATGATTCTTTATGTACTAGATAAAACATGAGCAGCCGATCTGTATCTGATATACAAACTCGAGTTAACTCGAGCCGAGGGCGAGAGTTTGTATATCAGATACAGATCGGCTGCTCATGTTTTATCGTACTTAAAAAATGACCCATCTTATGAGTTCATTGGCGAAGTAATTTTAAAAATAAACATTGTCTAAGCCGAGAAAATCAAAGCTGAAGTTTATGTAAATCAGGACAAATCTTTATCCGATTTACAAACATTGATTAAACATTCATTTCTTTTGTATTTTCCTCGTGAATTATTAATGATTTTTTTATGGGTGGTTACAAGCATGCATTTAACTGATATGACTTTGAATGCATTAACATTTGGATACTTATTTCAGCATATATAGGTATTGCCGCACCCTGGTGAAAAAATTAAATTTTCCATAGTCAGTCTCCCACTCGCCCCTGCGGGTGTGGCCAGGTTTTTTGTTCTCAACCGTACATATCTGACTGAGCAGGAAAATATAACCTTCTATGTAATGATAATGTTCGAGGTTCTTGCGCATTTCATTGGCAACAAATATATATTTTTTAAAGATTTTATTACTGTGCAGATTACTGTATTATATTATACACTTGTGCGCAGATACATGTACAATAACCGTTATACAGTTTGCAATCATTTTGAATATAATAAATACTGTTTTATGATTTTGCTAAACATTATATATCTATCCAAAAGTGCAGCCTGTCTTGTCCAGCCTCATTAATTCCTTTCGAAACTTGAAAATTTTATTTGACCAAAACTTTCTAGTTTTCTTCTTTTTCTGTCCAATCTCATAATTATACATTTCTTTAAAGTGCGAGACAAATATTGTGGCGGGCCACGCCATCACTATCGTAACTCCAAATACGGAACAAATAGCACCAAAAATTTTTCCGACTAGCGAGACTGGGACGATATCGCCATAACCGACGGTGGTCAAGGTAACGATGGTATACCAGAATGCATCGAGAATGCTTGCGAAGCCAAGATTGACAGATTCTTCACTGTAGTAAATTACAGAGGAAAAGAACAGGAGACATATTCCGACACAATAGAACGACAGAATAAGCTGTCCTGAACATGCTTTGATTGTAAGCCCAAATAATCTTAACCCTGTTGAGTATCGGGCCAGTTTAAACATACAGAGTATTGATAATGTTCTCATAACATTTGCGAGCCATATCAAGAAGCCTTCTTGGCATGCATCAAACTGACGTAGCAATATTTGTGGGAACATCGACAGCACAGATATGATATCAATAACCCCTAAAACACTTCCCATGTATCTGATTTTAAACTCTGATCTTAGAAACCGTAGAATAAACTCCAGAAGAAACCATAGACTGCATATATAATGTAAGACTACAAGTGGATGATAATTTGCTTCTAATAACTGTGTTGTATCTCTCTTAGTGTTACTGGTGTTCGTTATACCACCACAAGACCGGGGTAATATAAGCTGATATTGACCGGCACTTGACAGACATAATATAAACATATACAGTACAACAATAACCGCACACGGCCAGGATAAAAATATCGTAGAAACAAATGTATAGTTCTTTTCAGGGTTCCATTTTGGACTTTGTCTTCTTTTTTTACGCTTTGGTATTTTGAAGTTAGATGAACCATACTCTAGCTCTGCCACGTTGTGAGGATCAATCTGAAAGAATTCCAACTCCGCTAAAAATGTATCTTCGTTTACTCCTTCTGGCCGGATAAGTTTCCCTGATGACTGATAATAATAAAGAATTGCATCGAACGTTTTCTTATCACGGTTAAAACAATACTGTTTCTTTCTGGAGTCGTAATACGGAGCCCTTTTATGTGAACTACCAAGCAGAGTGTTGGGGTATCTCAACAATGTCGTTTCGAATGTTTCAAAAATAGTCCCACGTATATTGATAGTTACCCTTGTGTTGTCTTCCCAGGTCTGAGTCTCACTTTCATTATTGTTAGGCATTGTAGCTCGATGGATGATCTCAAAACTGTTCACAGATGCTAGACGGTACGAGTTGCCTGATAGACTGATATTTGATCTGTTTTGTGATATATCAAGCAGTGTGACAGCAGCACTTCCTGCGATACTGCTTGACATCGTTAGGTAGTCAAGGAACACTAAGGTATACTTTACTGTGCTGATGTCGTGCTGAAATCTTTGCAACTCAAACAAGACTACATTTACTCTGCACTGAACGGTCTTAAAAGCGCTATCATACTGTTTGCAAGCTTAATTCACTTTTCAATGGCTTTCAGCTTTACTGTATATTTTGTCTTTGTATACAATGGAATGTCGTTAAGTCTCTATTTGATTGATATGCTAATATTTCCTTCATTGTACTGAACACACTGAACACCAACCGTGTGTGACTAGAGCATTCCGCCAGCAAATTATGTCACGTATCATGCATAAATTATACAATGGGTTAATTACGCATTCAATTTACTTCTGCCCGCGAAAGCAAAGCAGGCTTTTGCTAATTTCGCATCTAATTGTCATCCAAAATGAACCACAATATAATCGTTTTGTCCTTGGGCTATTTCTATTAGCCCCACAAATATTAATACGATGGATACTTCATGAGTTATTGTGCTGACACACAACCACACATGCACCTAGTGGAGGAATGAAGTACAAAATGTGTAATAGTACAAATCTCTCCAAAATCCGTTCATTTGCCCGAAATTATATGTTGCGTGTGTTGTGTACTTGTATTTGTTATTTGTATTTACCGTGATTCTCCAAAGTGAAGTAATCGGAAACAGATGCAGACCACAGAGCAATTGCCAATTGCACAAAGCAGATTATAATTTACCCTTCAGATTCATGTTTTCATATCATATTTTTTAAATTCCATATTACACCTGAGTTTTTTCGTACAACTGAGCTTGAAAAATAAATATGGAGTAGCAAAACATGTTCATGTTTATAAACTATAATACATCAAAGCGGACAGAAAACATTGGATGAAAAACATGATAAATAAACATTGGATATCCATATATGTAGGACTGAGTCGAATTTTAAAATCAGATCGAACTTAAGGAAGCAGACGAGGCTATATATGTGTGTATCAGTGGTATCGTCCAGGAATTCTGGAAATGATCTATATTTGCAACAAGTTTGTCAAGTCTCCCCCCCCCCCAATATACTACTATCCTGGGTACCAGAGCCTCTCGTGATAGAAGTGAGCCTCACTCGTGTTTAAAACTTATTAGAAGAGGTGTGGAAAGCTATATCTTTCAAGTTACATAAAAAATATTTGCTTGTTAGTATAACTAATTTAAACAAGGTTGGGTTTTGTTAGGTCTCTTGGTTTTGTTAGATCTCTTGGTTTTGTTAAATCTCGTGGGTTTTGTTAGATCTCGTGGGTTTGGTAGATTTCGTGGGTTTTGTTAGATCTCGTGGGTTTTGTTAGATCTCGTGGGTTTTGTTAGGTCTCGTGGGTTTTGTTAGATCTCGTGGGTTTTGTTAGGTCTCGCAGGTTTTGTTAGATTTCGTGGGTTTTGTTAGATTTCGTGGGTTTTGTTAGGTCTCGTGGGTTTTGTTAGATCTCGTGGGTTTTGTTAGATCTCGTGGGTTTTGTTAGATCTCGTGGGTTTTGTTAGATCTCGTGGGTTTTGTTAGATCTCGTGGGTTTTGTTAGATTTCGTGGGTTTTGTTAGATCTCGTAGGTTTTGTTAGGTCTCTTGGGTTTTGTTAGATCTCGTAGGTTTTGTTAGGTCTCTTGGGTTTTGTTAGGTCTCTTGGGTTTTGTTAGGTCTCTTGGGTTTTGTTAGGTCTCTTGGGTTTTGTTAGGTCTCTTGGGTTTTGTTAGGTCTCTGGTTTTTTGGTCTCTTGGGTTATGTTGGGCATTTTGGTGTTGTTAAGCTTTTTGTACGAGGGGTTTGTTGGGATATTGCGTTTGAGTTTTTGCTTTTTCTTTCCCTCTGTCCTTGGTGTTTGTTTTTCCTTCATTACGTTCTTCATTTTTCCCTTTTCCTGTTTTATAAAATCCAGTGGCGAATGCTATGCAAATTTTTAATGATTTGCATTATCACCTTTAGAAATGTATTGTCTTCGACCTATTTAGAAGCAGGTTTATTAGCATAGCATGACCAGTTGCCATGGCTAGCTTTGCCACTGATGTAATCTTATAAAAAGTACAGGCTTTAATATATAATAATTAATAAAACATCATGTTAATTTACTTTAGCTTTGCAAAACAATGTTGAGGTATTCAACATTACTTCGGCAATGAACTCATAAAATGGGTCGTTTAAACTTTTTAAAACCGTCGTAGTCCTCGGCTGTCGCCTCGTGTTTTATATCTGATAAAGCACTCTTGCTCCTGTTTTGAATAGGACGGACTTATCCATTTACCATTTTTTAAACCACTTTAGGTTGATGGTTTAGAGTTTGAAGGTTTAGATGCTGATGAGGATACAAGGTAAGCTTCACCTCTCATTGTAGTTGGCTTTTGTATAGATGAAAATTTCGAGTGTGAATATACGCTTACTAGACCTAACCAGGAGCAGTTGCGAGAAATGCAACTATATATATAGACCCTCTGGTAGGAATCAAACCTGCGGCCTAGCCTCCTCCGCAGGAATCGAACCTGCAGCCTAGCCTCCTCCGCAGGAATGGAACCTGCAGCCTAGCCTCCTCCGCAGGAATCGAACCTGCGGCCTAGCCTCCTCCGCAGGAATCGAACCTGCAGCCTAGCCTCCTCCGCAGGAATCGAACCTGCGGCCCTGTGATTCCGGTGCAGCGCCGCGATTCATCTGTCGTGTATGTATTCATGTTGAATCTGTAATGCACAGTGCTTGTTACAATTTTGAGAACTGAAGTACGTCGAGACCGTTGCAATGATATAGGATATGATTATTATCTCTGCTGTGATCTTTTTCACCTGAATTGCATGATCAATACTGAAAAATTACCTTTTGTCGTCCCTAGGCTTCTCCTTAGGCAACGCTGTGACAAAGGGCGAAATTACGTATATTATCTGCAATCCCATAATTCCTTGGTACCATGCACCCACTTGCTCTACCAAATATTGCGTAATATATACACTTAATGTCTGCTCCCGAGGGAAATCGTTTTGTTTTTTCCGAGAGTTTTAATCGAGGGGACTGCGTTTTGTCAAGTAAAAAAACAGGCTACATTTCATGAATAAAGCTCTTTAATGTATATTATTTTAACAATAAAATAACCTGCCCAAGCCAAAAATTGTTTCAGCAGCATTCCCTGTTGTGTATTTTTCTTCTCTGTCAGACACTGTAATCTTTTCGTAAACCGGAAAACGTTCTTTCCAAACTTTTAATGTTGTTGCGCCGGAGGGCTGGACCCGGAGTTTTGGCCTATTTTGCTGGAGCCGGAGTTTTTTTCAACTCCGGCAAAACTCCCGCAGCACTTATTTGTCCTGCAAACTAATGTCAGACATCGGCGAAAAAACCTGAATTTTCACGAATTTGCTGGAGCTGGAAATTTTCTGCATCCATTTTTCCCGGAGCCGGAGTTTTTTTGGCCCGAGCTTGAGCCGGAGGTGAAAAAACCGAGGTTTGCTCAGCACTACAAATTTTGGCTCCATTTTGAACATTTATTTCACGTAGCCGATATATTACGTAGCCCGCCGGGCAACAATTTTTCGCTTGTTTCCCGGCGGGATACATTGCATTTATCTAAATCCACGTGACCACAAATTAGCCAATCAAATTTAGTTTGGGCATGGCTATGTAACAATTCTACTTATTGTCACAGGGCTGCCTGCAACGAAGTCATCTCCTATAAGATTACAAACTACAAAACAGCGAGAGAAAACTATAGTGTGTAAAATATGCTAGGAATGCAAGAAAAACTGGGTGGTGGGAAGCGTTTTATTGCAGAATTTGGATCAGCATTGCTATAACTGAAGATTTAAAAACTTTTCTTCTCCCCTTGTTTCAGTTTTCGTGAATTTTTTTTTTCATTCTATTTCCTGCTGTGTTTAGTGAATATCGAAGTAATATTATCATGAAAATTTCCTCAGTTCTTGGTCTGAGGTCGAAGAAAAGTAGACAGGAAGTTTCGTTTGAAGGAAAACATAGGTGGGTACATGCATGCTTGTTGTTCTTTTGTATGTTTATAGCTTTCCTTAGAAATGGCTGATTTTTGTAACGGTTAAAGAAAAAGACCAAGTCGGTGTAGAGAAAAAAGAATGAATTTTTACGAGTATGATATTAAATTGTCTTTGACGATCGTCATCATTTCTCCTCAAGGGAAGTCAGGCCTACTTGTCGCAACATTCCATCTACTATCTGACATTCCATTGTCTTCTATCCCTGTCTTTAGCACAATCTATCCATCGTTTCTGCGGTCTACCACGTGGTCGTTTACCATCTTCCGTTCTTCACATTGCCCAATCGAGTGATATACTGTGGCTCTCGTCTACTAACGTGCCCAAACCATCTTACGCCCGTATTCTAAAAGCTCACTCACACTCAATGAGTGGAAGTTCAATTTGAGCTTCTCTTGAGTGTCAATGCTGTTTTTGAATAGCTGGAGGGTGAGTAGTGCTGTCACACAGTAAGGTACGACACTAACCCTCCAGCTTTTCAAAAACAGCAATGACACTCGAGAGAAGCTCAGATTGAACTTCCACTCATTGAGTGTGAGTGAGCTTTTAGAATACGAGCGTCTCCCAGCCGACGTACTTTTGACTTTTTTCTCTTCTTTTAGGAAGTTTAATGTTTCGTTCGTTTTCCACATGCATGTATTTGAATTTCCCGAATCACATCAGTTGTGGTTCACAGGCAACAATGGACCATTTGCATTATAGACTAAATTTTGATCTAGAAAAAAATTTCATCACAGCTTGAAAGAGCATCACAAAATTAGTAATATTCCAAAGTTTCGTTGCGAAATGTTGTAAAATGCGGATAATATAGCCATGCGAAGTTTGCCGTTTTTCAGTCATTTTGTATTACGCACGGGAAATTGACAGCCCAATCGGGTGTTGGGGCATCAATTTCCCGTTTGTAATACAAAATGACTGAAAATTGCAAAGTTCGCAAGGCTATATTATCCGCATTTTACAACATTTCGCAACGAAACTTTGGAATATTACTAATTTTGTGATGCTCTTTCAAGCTGATGCTTTTTCTCTAGATCAAAATTTAGTCTATAATGCAAATGGTCCATTCTCAATGGGTAAAATAAATCGTAAAGACAATTTCGTCGGCGACTTATGTTATGCTGGCAGGCCGAAATCACTTGACCGTGTAGTGAATCAGACCTGCTTATACTTGCTTCATATTAATTTCCCTGCAGAGTTATGAGATTTTGAGTCAAAGTTTTCTCCTTTTTACTGAAATATTTAATGAAGTCTCAGGAAGTGTATTTGTATGATTTTTTAGCATGCTTCACTTTAGCAACGCTGATACTGGAATTAATGTTGTTGCTGTTATGGATCCATTATCTAACGATGCTCAGAAATTAACCCCAGTATTAATGGTATAATGCATTATTATTATAGTGGTTTACAAGCAACGTTATTTTGATCGATTTTCCAGTCATGGAAAAACTATATATTCTTTATTGCTAGTTGTCAGAAAAGTAGAAAACGTAAAACTGTACCCCTAATACGGTAAGCTGCTGCGAAAACAAATCAGTGAAAATAGTCAATTAACTCCTTCACCTTAACGCCACTACTACAACTATTTTTAGGTATTACGTCATGTCACTGGGGTAAATATGAAAATCTACATGAACTGCAGAGAAAAGTTGTCGGAAATGCCACTGAAAAGGTAACTATATCACTGGGAAAAAGTAGTGAAATCCATAAATTATATTTGAATCACCAAATCTATAGTATTTTGATACTATTCCCATACTCATAGTAGTGACAATTATTGTATGGAAATTGGATTACTATATATTTCCAAGTAGGATCCATATTATTTCCATAGTAGGGATCTTGAAAAATGATAAATTATCAATCTTTCTTTATTTAATATCGATATACTAATATACTATCATGGTCTTTGAATAAAGTCCTATAATTGGTGAAGTATTGGCGTGAATGACCGCTTCGGTAAAGCCATAAAAATCTATTTCACGATATATGGGAAAATACCATGATTACATAATTACTAACACTGTGTGTTATTTTTCACGCAACTATTCCTTAAAAAGGGGCAGTGTCACGGCGCTGATTGGCTAAAATAAACGGCGCAAAGAAACGTTTAAAATTTTTGGAATGATTGGAAAAGCTGCAGCAGCCTTCAATGTTTAAAACAAAGCAAGGATGTCCTGCATAACGGAGGGATTATAAATAGTATATCGTATTTCACTCCTAACTTGATTAATTGTTGGCAGACAGTTTTTCAAGTTCGCGCATATTTTGGATGCGCAGTAGTACCGTGACACTGCTCCTTTAATTGTCGAGCAATCTTACTCTGAGTGTATATCCACACCGGGCAAGCTTGAAAAATATGCCTGGCCACGGTGGGAATCGAACCTACGACCTTTGGAATACTAGCCCAATGCTCTGCCAACTGAGCTAGAGTAACATCACAATCATCATGTTCACCTGAGTACATAACACCAACACAGAAAAAATATTATATTTTAGGTTTTACCGTTATGTACTAGTACCAAGCTTACAGTTCAATGAAGATGGACAACTAGCCAGTGGTCCTCAAGCTGTATTCAGAGACATACCTGAAACACCGTTGTTAACTATGAATTTAGATATACCTCAAGCATGGATGGTTGAAGCTGTCAAATCTCCTTATGATTTAGATAATATTTATCTCAAAGAGGTGAGAATGCTGTTAAGTTTTATGGTCTAGTCTGTCCAGGATTCGAAATAACCGCCTGTCTCGCTGTCGATTCCAGGCGATCTTTACAAACGAAAGGCGTAAACATTGTTTACCTTGTTCCTGCAACATGATGAGCAAGCACCTAAACAAATATCTTATTAATACGGAGTATGTAATTTCGAACTGTGAATGGAGGGATCAATAACCAGTTCCTTTAATTTTAATTCAACACTTGGAGTGCATGGTGCAATAATGATCACCTATTTAGAACCCTGGGTGCATGGAGAAGGCTAATTTCATGAAGTAGGCAATATTGCGTAATACACTATTGATTAGCAAGCTTAAGCAAGCTACGTTTTTGACAACACGAACGTTGACCGGAAGCAAATTTGACGTTATCAACCAATCAACATTCTTGACCCAGTCTTCTGACATTACTCATGCCGTTCGTGTTGTCAAAAACATCGCTTGCTTAAGTTCGCTATTGTGTACTATTTAAAACATGAGCAGCAGTGTTTTATCAGTTATAAAGGTACGAGGCGAAGCCGACTATCTTTAACTGATAAAACACCGACTGCGACTGCTTCAAAACGATCGATCTAGTAAGTTCATTGGCGAAGTAATTTTCAAAAAATACGTTGTGTAAGTCGAGAAAATCAAAGTTAAAGTTTATGTAAATCAAGGGAAATCTCTATCACATATAAAGATACGACACGCTTATGATTTTTCTTTGTGTTTTCGTCATGAATTATTAATGAGTTTTTGAAAATTTATGTACAGAACCGCAAAACATGAAACCTCCACATCTTCATTTCCTTTCGTGATGTCATGTCTGCAGAAGTTGGGAGCCATAAAGCTACCTCCATATAGGCCATATAGTCTAATGTCAAAATGTACGCTTTAAAAACTTTCAATTAAGAATTCTGGAGTTACAGATCAACTCAAAACCATGCGTAGGGTGTGGAGCTAGCTATATAGTATTATCTAAATCGGGAGTAATGAATGACTATTAACTCCATAAGTTATGACTAAGATATGAGTAAAAAAACAAATCAGCCAAATTCAAAGCTATTGGGGCAGGACTTGCATGAGTCGTACACCAGTTGGAGTTTGATTTCAAGATCCACTCTCGTCCCAACGCTACAAGTTTTGGTTCGCTTGGTAACCCCTAGACCCTCATGCCTACCTCCATTCACAGATTGGCTGGCCCGCAAAAATAGAATCAACAGACATGCGTGATGTTATTACGAGTTACAAATGAAAATAAAAGCAAGCAACCAAATTTAAACTCACAAAGTTACTTTTGACCCGTCCAATTCAGGTACCAAGTTAACTTTAAGTCATTTTCCTACTTCAATCATTGTTTCAATTGCAAACTCGTGAAGATAACTCTCTGCTGTCAATCCCATATGTTAGGAGATTACTGTAAACTCCCATGTAGTTTTTATTTGAAGAAATTTAATTTGTGAAAGGTTATGCAAGTTGTAGGGGACATAAGTTTCTTGATAATACATTATTACCATGCATTTGTTATCATTGCCTTATGTATATTACAGGTGGAACAATCTGTGGTTGGAAATTTTGAACTGGAGTACATCTTGATTGAAGGTACATTTGGCGTGATCTTTATACCATCGTGATCTTTTTACCATTGGAGTTGTTCACTACACACTAACACACATCAGTACATCACCCAAAGAATCATTTGACACTTGGCTAGCCAATAGACAAGCTTGTTAAGGCAGATTTCCATTCAATAAAAATCTGCTAGTTGAGCGACAGAGACGCAGAGAAACAGGGACTTCTAGATAAAGAATATCTCATTTTGTATGTTTACACTGCATTGCAATATTTTTAAATATAAAGATTTCCGTATAAAATTTCAGGTCATTGTTCTGACGCCAATACTGGTCAACCACCACGTGGTCTGCAATTTACTCTTGGAACTAAATCAAATCTCGAGCAATTTGATACAATTGTCATGGCGAACTTAGTAAGTATAGTATAAACTATTCAGTAACTAGCATCTTTCAAGTTTGAGTTCACATATAACTACCTAGTAAATCACACTGGTAATGTTGGATTCCTGGTTGACAGGGATATTTCCAACTGAAAGCTTCGCCTGGATCATGGATACTACAACTTCGAGAAGGGCGTTCCAACGAAATATTTGAAATTGAGAGGTAACCATTTTTAGATCTTTTGTTGTCTTTAGCAGTGTAGGATATATTTGAGATGATGTTCTCTGAGTGTGTCCACACCGAGCAAGCTGAAAATTTTGCTTGGAATGGTGGTGGGAATCGAACCCGCCACCTTTGCTTCTCTTGATAGCATCACAATCATTACACTCATGATCATAAAACCCATACTGATCTCGAAGGAACTAGACCGAGTTTCGAAATATCACCTACTCGAACCGACTTAATCTCATAGCTCAGTTGCTAGAGCATTGCCCAGGCCTAGAAAATATATTTCTCTTCCTGGCAGCAAAATCCAAAAATAGAAATTTCCTGTGTAAGTCAAATATAAAACTTCCTGCACATGTGGATTTCAGAGAACATATGGCGCCGCACATTATGATAAACTTCAATCTCGGCACAAGGCAATCTCGATTAGCAAAACGCTTTTGGAAATTTTAAACAATAAGTTAATTATATAGCATTCCAATATATAAGATGACAAAAATTTCCTGCAAGGTGTTAAAAGATTTTCTGCGATGATATTTTGTTACTGTGCTGGTACTGCCGGACTAGCAAACCAAAGGTCGCGGGTTCGATTCCCACTGCAGTCATGCAAACAAAATTGCCAGCTTTCCCAGTGTGGACAAAAAGTATCATTACAAATACATATCTTCTCCTAAATGCATAACACCACAATCAGTATAGGAGTAGTATATGGTGTCCAAATGCGGCTAAAACTCTTCCTGAAAATTTAATTTTAATCTCTAGTTTCGATTCCATTTTGGATACCACATTTGATATTTCCTGTAATTAGCACTAATGCATATTTTTGCATTTTACTATGGTTTCAGTATTTCACTCGGTTCGAATTCTGATACCACAAGTCTGATACCAGAAATTTATTTCTCCTGTAATTTTTTCTCTCAGCTTATCTGGATCGTCAACAGCTAAACATGGGGCGACTGAAGTTGTTGTCGTCGACAATTTCTTGGGAGAATTTCTCAAAGCAAAGGTATAATGTGCTTATACGGATATTCCTTTATTTTACCTTTCATTCGTTTCAAGATTGTAGACGTTTTATATTATATTTATAATATGTTTTTACAGATATTCTTTTTTTTTTACCATTCGTTTCAAGGTTGTAGACGTTATATATTATATTTAGGTGAAAAGAAAAGATGGGAAAGAAAACGCTGACTTACTCGCTGAAGACGGCGAAAAAGGGGGCGGAGGAATATGGGACTCGCTTTCAAAGTAAGTCTATTACGTCTGGAGAGGTCACTTCATAAGTGATCTCAAGGACATTCTTTTTTTTTGTTTGAAAAAACACTTTTTATTTAAAAAGGCACGCTGTGTCACTTTTTACTTCAATGTCATGCAGCGCCTCTCTTTTGCCCGATACTCCCTTTTAGCGTAAGGCGGAAAACATATTCCCGGTTATGTCACTTCAGTAGGTCCAACTGTATTAAATATCGGTAAACTGCTCAGATACAGAATATATACATAATATTTATTTTAAAAGAAATATACTGCTCCGAATATCTTTCCCTAGTATAAGCTGATAAGCGTGCCCTTGTACCAACATATACATTGCTCATTACTAGTGGTTGCCAATTAGAACATCATTGGTCAACGAGTTATCGTATTCGACTTATCCTACCTATCCAAAAATAGAATGTTTATTCAGTTTTAAGTATAACTGGCATAGGTGAGATTAGCTTGTAAACACGGCCGTGCATCAGAAGATGGTGGTCAATCAGCAGTTATCAGACTAAGAAAATAATGTGAATTGTTCTCATTAGAGAGATGTAATTTAATTCACTTTCTCGTATTAAATATGAATAGTTTTGAATTTGACCACCGTCTGGTGTCCAGTAACTGAAACCCACCAATATTTCTAATATGAAACCCACCATTTCTTGATCGTTCCCAGCATGGTCAGTGGTAGTACGTCAAGCAGTTCAAGCAATGAAACTATCAATATTTTCTCTGTTGCTTCTGGTCATCTATACGAGAGATTCTTGAGGTAAGTGAAAAAAGTATGAGTATGTTTTTAGTATTGTGATTATTCCTGCACTTTAAATAAAATAGCTGAAAACGACCACTCGATTTGTGGTGAAAACTATATACGCTTTCGAGCATTGTATGTGTAGTCTCGTTGTATTTTAACACTTCGCAACATGGCAAAATTTCAATGTATTCGTATCATAATCACTATTTTATTGCCATCTTCAGAATCATGATGTTAACTGTGATGAAGAACACTAAAAGTCCCGTGAAGTTTTGGTTTTTAAAGAACTATCTATCTCCCACTTTCCAGGTACAGATGTTAACATATTTCCATAAAAATCCTTCAATATTAGTTCAATCGACTGAGATGCCCAAAGTCCTGATATTTGCACATACACCTTACTATGACGTCATCTTAGTATTTATACATGAACTTGCGGTTAGAGCTCGGTTGGTAGAGCGCTGCACCGGAATCGTAGGACCGCAGGTTTCGATTCCTGCCACAGGGCTTATAGTTTTTCCCAGCTGTTCCTAAATAAAAATAAAATGTATAAAAATTTACACTCGAAATTGCCATCTACACAGAACCCTTCAAAAAATGTAACACATCATGTCACGGGAAGTGTTTGCCGAAGAATGTGTTGAAAAAAGGGCGCAGTTTTTAACATACTCTGAAGTGTTCCAAAATCACCATAAGGGCTCGTGTACACTTGCAATTTTTGCTGCGATTTTAGGTTCGATTTTCTTCTGACGGATGTGAACGAGTGGATAAGTTATGAATATTCAGTTCAGACAAAGATTAGATACTATAAAGATGTGTCACTCTGCGAAAATTATGTCCGAGATTTTTTTATAGCCGCCATTTTGCCAGTAAGTGTCAAATTCGTCAAAATTCGTCATATAGCGCGAGCATCGCGATGGCAACCTATTGTATTCAGTCTCGCCGCCATTTTGGCAGTAAGTGTTATGCACTCGTCATCTCGCGTGATCACTCGTGATCAGCACGGAAAATTACGGACACGCAAACATTAGGGAAATACGTCGAGTGACACATCTTTATAGTATCTAATCTTTGGTTCAGATGAGGGTACATGTACTCCGAACATTCGTAACTCACCTACTCGTTCACATCCATCAGAAGACGAAAATCGCACTAGAAATCGCAGCAAAAATTGCAAGTGTAAACGGGCCTTGACACATGCACGACTTTGATTTAGCGTCTGAAATAAATAAAGTATCTAAAGAGAATGCGAAATTAAATTGTGGACGTTTATTGCCGTGATATGAAGAAAATGGTGCTGATTTCCGTGTTTAACATCTCCTTGTTCACAGGCTTTCGTACCCCATATGGCCAAGGAATACGGATGTGAATATGAATTTGTTCAGTATAAATGGCCTGGCTGGCTGCACCATCAAACTGAAAAACAGAGAATTATTTGGGGGTACGTTATTACTTTGTTTCATGCTGGCGCGGATACTTAGTGCTGATGCGAATTTAGATGGCCAACGTATTCCCACCGTTGTGTTGCTGCAAATCCTTTTTTATTCAAAATTATTGAAATTTTCTTTATGAAATGATTATGGTATAAAAACCATAGCTACTTACTGTAAAACTTGCCATAAAAGAACCGATAGGTAAGCAGCCAAAATACAAGAACCACTTCAGGATCACAAGACTGGTTCTTAAAAAAATGTTGAATGCATGTTCTAAGGGCAGGTATAGGCTGGTATTCAGATGTATATGCTTGATTTAATAACATTCCAAAAACATAATCTGCAATGAAGAAATTCAGTGGCTTTTAAATGGCAATTGTTAGTGTAATACTGGTCAACAGGAACAACTGTTTGACTAGCAATAAGAACCAGTTAAGAAACAAATCAGCCTGGTTTCTCACATAAGGACTACTTCAGCCTGACATGAAAATATATAGTCAGTGGCTCTTTTATGCGGGGTTTTGCTGTAGTTAAACAGGTATCTTTCAGGGACATTAAATATTGGGGGGGGGGGGGAGCTTCCCTTAAACCACCGCCTGTTGTTCAAAGATATGTATTTGCCTGCGATGTTTGGTGGAGTCAAACAGGATATAACCTAATTTTTCACATCGTATTATGACTGTACTTACAAAGATACACATGTACCGGGTGTCCCCCAAAAAAATACTCCTGTTTGATTCGTAATAACTTCTAAACAAGTAAAGCTTTTAAAGAGAAATAACTTGCATTAAATAGAGGAAGGACTAACTTAGATTTTGATATATTACACGGTTGTATTTTACTTAAAAATTCACGGAGATATTAATTTTCAAAATCGGGAGCATATTTTGGGATGTGTCTAAAATTAGCGAAAATCGGCATATCAAATATTAACTCCAGCGTTTGTTTGCTTAATGACATATCAGGCTAACTTGTATTTCAGCGAATTATCGTTAGGGTTTGTAAGGGATATGGCGTAGATTTGGACATCTTGCATGTAAGTTTTATATCTAGCTCATTGTTTCCTGAAATATGAACGTTCGAAATATTAATATTAAGTATTTAATATTATAGATCTTTATACAAATTTAAAAGTACATGAAAGACTAACCATGGAAGGCAGGCGTTTAAATTTTTCTTAAATTAAATAGCCTAATTTTTTTATGTTTTTAATGGGTTCAAAAAGACTGAGTTGATTATTTCTCGGTTAGAGCAGGATGAATATTATTCTTTATTGAAGGAAATAATATTGCTTTTTGCAAAAACACATCACAGTATCAACGCTACTATTTTGTTACATTTTGTTCCAAAAATGTTGCATGTCTCTGGGGAGTTGCTTAATTGTTATGTCTTATGGAGTTATATGGTTTGATTGTGTTTCATATAATTCTCAGTTTACTCTGAACTTGCCAAGATTAAGAAAAGGCAAAAGAGTTTGGGTGTTCTTAACAAGATTTCAGAACGTTGCAGAAGTTAGAAGAGCTTCACAATTCCATTGTGACAACATGCCCTAATTCAGAGCTATACGAACGATCCATGACTATCCTTCGCGATGCAGTGGTCTCATGAAATAAGGAAACGAATTCGTGCTAGGAACACACGCGAATTTCGGACGAATAAATCTTGCTTGTATTTTGTAGATATAATAATACTTTGTTTCATAATAAGCGATTTGTCAAGTGTCATTTATTTACTGGTAATAGTTCCTGTTTCAGTCGGGCAAATCTTGATTAATATTTGATACGCCGTTTTTTCCATATTTCAGACACATCCAGAAATATGCTCCCGATTTTAAAGATTAATGTCTCCGTGAATTTTTAAGTGAAATACAACTGTTATATATCAAAATCTAAGTTAGTCCTTTCTCTATTTGATGCAAGTTATTTCGCTTTAAAAGCTTTACTTGTTTAGAAGTTGTTACGAATCAAACAGGAGTACTTTTTTTGGGGACACCCGGTATACACATAATATCTTTATATATGATAACTTTTTTGAAATTTTTCAAAGTTGTCGATTTTTTAGTTGAAAGATCTATCATAAAACAACTCAAAAACAACATTAATATTGTCATTTGAAATCGTTAAAATGGTGAAAATAGGTTGACTAGAATAAATATTTCACATGTGTTTGAATGTGAGCGATCAGTCAGTTCACGTGTATATCATGTGCATGATGTTTATATTCTATTTCTGTAGCTACAAAATCCTGTTTCTTGACGTCCTCTTTCCACTTAGTCTCAAGAAGATAATTTTTGTCGATGCAGATTTGGTTAGTGTTCTTTATTATAACTACGATTTTCTGTTAATAGAATCTTCCAATGTGAAGGTCGTGTACAATGTTGTCGTATTTGCCATAAAACTCACCAAGTGGTAATAGTTATGTCGCGGTCAAAACGTTCGACCCTCTCCCATTGGCTTGATAATTTCTTCCATTTCTCTATGTAAATTATAAAATATAACATAATTTATAAAACAAGTGATTCATTCAACTATTTAAGAAGGATTGCAACGCAGTTTACTAACCATTATTAAACAAATCTTGCCAGTTATTGCGAAGATATTTATGAGTAAATGACATTACCAGGAGTCCAGGACATATATATTTTTCAAGAACGAGTCAAGTATCGAGAAATAGAAAACCTCATGGGAGCGAGGATTCAGTTAAACACAATTAGCTTTTTTTTTTATAATGACAGTGGTACATAATATCTCGAGCAAAAACCCTACGCCAGATATTACTACACAGAAAAGGTCTACCTCCTCCACAGGCCGTAATGATTCCCTAATCACGTAAGGCAGAGTATGCCCGTTTGCAGGTTAGAAATTGAAATTTGAAACTTCGATGGCCTGCGGAGTAGGTATGGAAAAGGAATTGCTCGTAACGCCTATGTATTATTAAGTTGTAACAGCTGAAAGATACCCTAGCTAAGAAATTTCACGTTTGAATTTTTCCAAGATTGTACGTGCTGATCTTAAAGAACTCATGGATATGGACTTAGAGAGAGCTGCGTATGCATATACACCGTTCTGTGACAGTAGAAAAGAAATGGATGGGTTCAGGTATGCTTGCTTACTCCATGGCTGGTAAAATATAGCTCACTTCGAGACCAGAAGCGATGCATCTACTATATATAACCTTTATTTGGTTAACCTCTTGCCTCCATTAAGCTCCCCTTTCTGATCCAACAGCCAGGTCAAGGTAATTGTGATACGTTTACACAACAGCATGAACCAATGCCACTGTGAGCGCCTTGCGAGCTGGGCCTGGGGACGAGGAATGTACGTTTACACTGTTAACATTTCCACAAAGACTTGGCTTAGGTCGGGCCTATAGGGCCAACGGTTGCAGTAGACCCATATTTTCTGGTTTACACTACCAAAATATAGACCTATGCTCAGGGCAGGCCAAAGCTTTCATTGTAAACACGGGTTATCAAGCTCTCAATTATTGAACTCCCTCAAGGATTCTCTGAAAATTACACTAAAGATCTCGACGTATTCTAGATGTTGAAGTTATTTGGCAGGGATGTTTTGGAGATCATTGCTTAGAATGTTGATCGTCTGTCTGTTTTTATTCATGTGTCTCTGAGAATGATTTTATGTTGTTTAACGAAATAATACAAAGCTTTCTGCTACCCCTCCTCCCCGTCCAAGCGTAGTGATATAAGCCAGGTGATAAGCCAAGATTCGTAGCAGTTGTGTGTCGAAAAACTCGCAACATCACCACAAGAGTCTTATTTATCACCACAACTCGAGTATCCGTTAAGCAATTTAAAAGAAACCAGGCCTATAAAATAAGCCCCAGGCTAGTAAATGAAAGAAATACGTTATTGCTGAGTTATGACAGGCAAAAAATGCATTGTTGAAGTGAGAGAGACAGTTCGATGATCGCACTCATTAGCTACTCCCAATTTGCTAACTTTTCCAAATGCAAATTCTATTGGTTAATAATGCAGTAGTAATACGTCAATTATTTATACTTTATTTATGTTTTTTTGTGTTAAATTCTGTAGATTTTGGAAGCAGGGTTACTGGAGAAACCACTTGGGACATAGACCTTATCACATCAGGTACATATTGGGGGGTCTGAATGTGGATCTGTCAACTACACACGTAAAAATGCAAACTTTGTAACAAATCTGCAATAGACCAATACTGTTTCAAGACCTTGTTATCAGGATGTGTTCGCACTGCTTGTTCCCAACGGTTTGTTGACAAGGTTTTTGACTCGACAGACTTGTTACATGTCATTCCAACAACATGTATGTGATCGTCCTGCAATTCAACAATATGTTAACAAGTTGTGAGTGACAACCTTGTAGCAACTTGATATAATGGTAACATTGTTAACAAGCTTGCGACAAGCCTGTTGCAAGCACATCTTGTTATCAAATATTTAACAGTTATTCTACGAACTCGAGTCGAATATGAGCTGATAGCCGATGAGGCGCGTAGCGGCGAATCGGCTATCGCTCATATTCGACGAGAGTGAGTGGAATAACTGTTTTATTATATACGCAAGGTCTGAATTCACAGACTTTGCTTTTCGAATATTTTCAATATTTTTCTATTTTGTTTATGTTTTTATCTTCGCTCTTTCGGTCGATTATTTCTTCAAAAATATATATTTTTAACCATTTTAAATTTTAAAAATTCATTTGCTAACCTGTAAACAATTTCTGCGAGTTTTTTCATTGTGTTTTTAATCCTGTAAAGGCTATAAAAAGCGAACAACTTGCCGTTTTCTCGTTCGCAAAAATCGGAAATTCAGTTTGAGCCGCCATTTTGTTTTTCTCTGCTAGTAGGATATGAGCTAATATCCTGCTAGTAGAGAACCAATCAGATTGCAGAATACCTCATATCCAGACCTTGTGTATGTAATAAAATCTGATAAACTGTCAGTTAGGTATTTTGTAAGATGTCTGTTGTAAAGCTATTTCATCGTTTGCTAGTAATCTGTAAGGGTATTTTGTCGGTTGGCAGTCCAAAATACGGGCAAATATAGGTAGTGTTGTTAACCCTATTCAGACATGATATTACCAAGTGTCTTCAAATTACTTTTTAGTGCCCTTTACGTGATTGATCTTAAACGATTCAGAAGATTGGCTGCTGGAGATCGTCTTCGTGGGCAGTATCAGGTTGGGACAAGCAAACAATGAATGTTTCTCGCCTGACACATCACACATGAGGAGCCTCGTACCCAGGCGCTTTGGTGTATAACGTCATCAGGGTCTTATAGCCAGAATATGTTATCAAAATTCACGGAGCAGATGTTAGGAAACGTATTCGTGGTATTTTTTGTTAAATGTTGTATTTTCTTTATTCATATGTAGGGGTTAAGTCAGGATCCGAACAGTTTATCAAATCTTGATCAGGTATTACATAAATTTTCTTTTAACTTCAAGCCAATTAGTTTACATTGTTTGTTGTAGTCATTGCTCCTTGGCTTCTTACATAAACGATTTCTCTTATCATAACTATCAATCATAACTTTGCATATCATTATGATGAAATAAGTAAACCATGCGTACATCTCAAACAAATAGAGCCGGTAAAACTTCATTTTTCTAACTTTTCACTTTGGCCACTTGTCGAAGATCAAACCAAATAACAGTGTTACTACTGTTTACTCGTCCAAAAATATTGCAGATTCGCTGCGGATTAGAACAAGCATACGTCATTCTAAATGGTTGCAACTGCAATCTTGGACACGAGATCATTGCTCGAAATATTACAAATTTAATGTACATTCAACAAGTTAAACTTCATGATCCCCCCCAGTCCAATATTGCGAACAAACCCCAAGCATATGAAGTCAACATTGAGATGAGGGCAGTGGTGGCATAAAAAAAACACTACATGTTGTGAGGCAAATTTGTCAAAGGTATACGAATTTTGTCTAGTTGATTCTATATTCTCAATTCAGGCCTTAAAATATGTTTTACAGGGCCGTCTGACAAAATGTCCGATGACGTTGAGTTTGGGTCGGACATATGTCCGATGACCTTCAGTTCAGTTTTGACTCGGAAATAAGTGTGAATGACACAAATGAATACCAGCACAATGTATTAATTCTGAACGGTAAATGTTGTGAAGATACTAAATAATTTGTCTCATTCATACTTATTTCCAAGCCAAAATTGACTTGCTTGCCAGAACAGCAGTAAGACAACTTAAGCCCGTTTTCCAGTTCACCATTTCGTTCGCACGTCGCCGCCCCGTGCTCGATTAGCTAAGTTAAAAACATTTTCAGTTCACTTTTTATACAATACTCAATAGTCCTCTGATTCTCCATTTGACATACGAGCCTTACTCCTAATTGATTTACGTTGGACAAAGCTACAGTTCGGTCGGACACCAATACACTCGGGTCGGACAAACAATAAACCTCAGTTTCACTTACGTCGGACAGAATGTCCGGTGGCTTTCTCTGTACGTCGGACAGTTTCACGAATGGGTCGGACAATGTCCGTGACCGACCGATATTTTAAGGCCTGCTCAATTGATTCTTGTAATCAGTGAGAAATGTGCTGTAATACCTCCTTACCTTATCATGAAATGAGTCTCCTTAGTCGTTTAATATTTTATTCTTTAAATTCGTAGTTTGCATTGGGATGACAAATGTGTTTTATCGTTAATTCTTGTTAGGATCTTCCAAACAATATGATCCATCAAGTTCCTATGAAATCCCTACCACAGGAATGGTTATGGTGCGAGACGTGGTGTGACGATGCTTCAAAACCTGCAGCTAAGACTATTGATTTGGTAAGTTCAACCATGGATACAGGTGCCACGGAGCGACGCTATCTTCTTAGTCTTGTGGTGGCTAACTCTAAATTCACATGTCAAAATTCAAATGCTTTAAAAACTTTGTATTAAGAGTTGTGGAGTTACAGGTCATCTCCAAACCATGTTTAGGGAGTGGAGCTCACTACATCATCTAAACATAAAATAAATGGCTGTGAACTCGAAAAATAGTCTAAAAATAAGACTAAAATACCTATTCAACCGCATTCAAAAGCTATTGGGGCAGGATCTGCCCGAGGCGCATATCAGTTGGAGTTTGATTTCAAGATCCATTCTCGTCCCCAGGCTACTAGTTTTGATTTGCTGGTAGTCCCTAGCAGGGGCGAAACTTGAGTGGGGTATGGGGAGTGTGGCACCCCCCCCCCCCAAAAAAAAACAAAAAAAAAACCGAATCATCCCGATTGGCAGGGCAATCAAATATTTTAAATGATAGAATGTAGAGTTATTAAGTAACTTATTACAGCTAGCAAACAATACGCAGTTTGTACTCATGTACATTGGCATCGACAGTTCAATTATACACGTAGCTTAGTGATGTATTGTATTGGCGTCATTGGTTTTGGCAGGACAATTCTGCCAGACACCCCCTAATTAAAAGGGGCTAGTTTCGCCCCTGGTCTCCAGACCGTCAAGCTTACCTCCAATCAAATATTGGCTACCTCCACAAGAATAAAATCTACAGATATAAGCTGAACAGACAAAGTATAAAACTATGACTCGCAGTAAAACTATCGATAACTAACTGATGGTGATTTTGTAATAACACTTGCCATGAACTTTGTTTTTGTCCTTATCCTAGATTTGCCGAGTGGGACTGGATTAAATATTGTGTTTGTATCAGTTTGTGGTAGTCTTCAGCTCATATGACAAAACATAAGATTTTTAAAGTTTTTTGCTTCCTTTCATGAGCGCTATGTTGCAAAATGCCGCCAGAATTAGAATTAGGGTGATGTCCGTGTTGGAAAAAACGTCGCTTGCTCTTAATCTCACCAATGTCAAACACGAAAAAGAGGCTCTATGGCCAAGGTTTGGATACATTTCATGTACTTATATAATATTGAAACTATGTTTAGTGTAACAATCCATTGACGAAGGAGCCAAAATTAGTGAGTGCTGTTCGTATCGTAAAAGAATGGCCAGATTATGATAATGAAATAAAACGACTTCAAGAACGTGTTGCTGAGAATAAATCACAATCTCAAAGTTATGAAAAAACCACTGGTAAGTATGCATAACATAACTCTTAATGCTGATTAGCAGAGCACTCGAAAGTCAAAACCATGGAATTGTTAAATATCAGCTTAGCAAAGTTTCACTCGTGACTGTTGTCTGTAGGCATAAGCAAGTCCCCAGTGCGTAGCTGGCGTTTTGAGCGCTATTGTCCACGCGTGAGATCGGTGACATCGGCGCCGTATATTCAACGTGTTGAATAATTTTTTGCACGAGTGAACATTTCCTCCAAGTGTGCGCGCGTGCAAAGCTATCAGCTTACAATTATTTTGAAATAAATTCGTGAAACATGGCCGCCGTTGTTTGCGAAGAAGAGTTTGACCCATCCTCATCAGACGAAGGAGAAATATTGCTTCTTCTTCTCTTAATGCGACGTAGACGAGGACGTTTAAGAGCTTCGCACAGAAAAGTATGGACGAAACGGTGGACATCATAAAGACGTGGATATTCAGGACGCAGATCAGTGATTTTGTCCTCCAACATAGCATCAGCAACAACACTTAGTACTAGTCGCCATTTTGCATGCGTATTTGCCTCCTATTCTAAGCTGATAGCTTTGCAGGCGCGCACACTTGGAGGAAATGTTCACTCGTGTACAAAATTATTCAACATGTTGATTATACGGCGCCGATGGCACGCGTGAACAATAGCGCTCAAAACGCCACAGCACACTTGGGGAACTTGCTTACACCAACAGTCACGAATCAAACTTTGCTAAGCTGATAGCTCTAGTGTGCGGCGGGGCTTTAGAGTGGAAATATTTCACTTGATTTCTTTTGAATTGCGACCATCCGAATAAATCAGTTCTACTTGAGTCTGACCGCTCACAATTCAAAAGAAATTGAGCGAAAACTTTCGACAGCGAAACTATTCTTGCAGCTTAACAAATAAGTTTATAGTTTGTAACAAAATTGATTTGTATACTTGTGGTGAGAATACTTTTTGTACTATGTAGATTTATATATTCATTTGTCTTATTGCCCAGCCTTCTTTTGCGTTATACTTGCAAATAGCTCTTTAAACTGTGTTAGGCTCAAGGGCGACAATCTATTCCAGAGAGTGGGGTGACAGAGCCGGCCCGTAGACCTGGAAGCATGTGACCTCTTTGTGGTATTTCCACAACATTATTTGGGGCAAAACCAGTCTTTACTGTTTCCTTGAAACAGAACTGCTGTGGGATAGGGCGTTTTCCGAGGTTGTTATGCTCATTGAGAAGATCGATTTTTTAAAACAATATAATAATTTCAATCGCAAATGATGTTAGTCCGACCGCAATTGACGCTGGATAACTAATATTAATCATGTATCATTGGGGAAAAGTGGGGGATAATTAGATATTTACCCCCACCCCAAATAGTGGGGGGGGGGGGGAGACATTATCCCACAGAATTGAAGCCCTTGTACTTAGACTCGAGTTTCCATCAGTATGTCTGCAAATACAGAAAGGTTTAGATAGGATAGTTTAGAATTATTGATGGGAATTTGATTAAAATTCGCTTTATTTTGTCATTCGTTTTCATAGACACCACCAGTAAAGATGAATTGTGAAGAAATCCAGAGGAGACAATCAAATACTGCTGACTTACAACAGACTGTGCAGTGTGACATGTATTATAACAGCTGATGCAATTTAGGTTAAAAGATTAAACGTCGAAACCACAAAACTTCTACGTGTAAGTGCGAGAAGGATGATGGCTCCACTGTTTGTAAATCAAATTGAAGCACTCTACACTAAGAAGAGGCATATACATTCCCATTGTACTTTTCGTGCTAAGAGGCCGCGGTGTTGTGATTTTGACTTTTGACCTGTAGAGGACAAGCTTGATTGAATAACTATGAGTAAATTACCAGTATATGTCCTATGCACTCTCTTCAAATAATGCATTACGTATTTCTAGTATCATGAATCTTGAGTGTCATGTAGTTGTTGTACTTGTTATTTGTACCTATTGCTGTTCTTATCATTACATGAACCAATCACTATAAACATTTTATAATGTCTTCCCGAAGTAATTGATAGTTCATATTCTTCATAATGATTCTATCAGGCACGACGACTCAGTAGGAACTTCCCAACCAGCTCAGTAGAACATACCCGACCAGTTCAGGTCGATATTCTATCAGTTACTGAATAAGTTATCAAGTAAAACTAATAAACCAAAACTGTACGACAGAAGGCCAGTTTATTTAGTAAGCCAAAAAAGTTAAATATTTCAGGAATATGCCTTACATGTCAAGTTAAATAGCCCAGCATGAGGGCAATGTTTAGATAGACTGAAGATCTTATTTTAGCAAATGTATTGTATTCATATTTACTAGTCAGCATTTTTCACAAAATATCAACAACGAACCTGCTGAGCCTGCTGCTGAGGTATATGAAAGAAAAAAATGCTGCTTCATTGGATTTGTTTGTCAAAAAATATCAAGCTGTGTTATTTATACTGTGTTCACTTTTTGTAGGGATTTTCCTTTCGAAGGAATCTTCCTTGTATAGGTTTAATCTTGTTGTCTGTAAATCATTATGGTAAGGTGTTTATCATAGTTAAAAACTGCCATGGCTGATCCATGTAGTCAAAATTTAAAATTTCAGAATAATTGAATCTGAAAACCAATACACTGAATCAAACTTTTATAATACACCCTTTCGAAAATTTGAAAAATACTTCACCTTGACTGTTAAGCATACTGATTAAGCCTCGCTTTTGTGATAGAGGCTGTGACGTAAGTATACAAATGTATTTTAATTTTACACAATGTTGTATGTGATTTTAAAGGTTTGAGTAAGTATGTCAACAACGATAAGATAAAAGGCTGTAAGATCTAAGATCTTGTTAACGGAAGTAATATCATGTGATCTGCATGTAACTAGCATGTGATCAGCATATGATTGTACTATAAACAACAAATTATTTTCTGTCAAATATTCAGGTATTCCCCATCATTTGTTCTTCACAGTTCTTTCCAGAACTAAGTGCAACGTCACTCCCAAGAAGGGCTTCCCCAAGAAAGGCTTCCCCAAGAAGGGCCTTCCCAAGACGGCTTTCCCAATATAGGGGCTTACCCAAGATATTTAATGCATATAAATATAAAGCACACGCCGTATTAGTAATTTAGTCGTTGATCGTGATACAGTAAAGAACCACTTAATTGCAAAATCACTACACAGAGGTTTGTAATCATTTGTTTTTCAATCGAGAGGTACTGTTGTCCTCAAAGATAAGACGTTAAATGATGTTTTTTTATTTATTCTAACAGGAAAATGGACAGACATTCAATCGCTCGAATACAGTTGGAGCGGAGGAGAAATGCGGCAGGCCTCTCAGAAGTAATTGATCGTCTCAAGCGAGAACACGCAGTGATACAACGGAGAACACACTACATTTTTGACCAAAAAGCGAAAACAGCCGATATAATTGATAAGTGTTGCAGTCTGTCAAACGAGTATGCCATTGCTTTCGGAGGATTTGTGTATCTTTTCATCATTATAGTTAGCTGCATTGTTGGTCTGGCTGACGGTTTTAGTTATTCCTTGGTGCTTGGGGTGGCCGCTATAGGAGCCGTGTCTTCAATCATGGTCGGAATATGGTGTTGGTGGAATGATGACATCAGAGCGCATCGTTTGGAGGATGTGCGGTTAGAGTTAATCGATCAGATACGTGAAGATACGGAAGTGCTGCCATTACTGCAGGAAATCCTTTACAGGATTGACAGAAGTTATTTCGGCAGAGTCCCAAGTGTTTTACGTGGTCTGCTTATGTTGTTAGGTGGAGCAAGCTTGATGACGCTTCTGGTGGTGGCTATTACTGGTGGTGCTAAAACTCTGGCAAATATGACAGGGATGGTTAGCATAGCCATTAGTTTCGCCATGTTTATCTGGGAGTATTATACGATGTGTCGAATTCCATATTCAGCACAGTCCCAGCTTGGGAGAGAATTGCGTGAACTGGCAAATGAATTAAACCAGTGAATCGTCAGCCGTAGAATGTCAAACATCTCATAAAACTGAGGACGATGTAAATAAACGACAGCTGCAATATGAGAACAGAGAGAACTGTGATATATAATGTACATATGTAACCTAAACTGTGAAAAGACATGTACCAAATATAAGAACACTAAAAAATCATGTGATATCGTTTCCAAATTTTATAATTGCCATATATTTTCGGTCTTTAGAGTGACCTTTGGTTGTTGGGGGGGGGGGGGGGGGG